TAAATAGTTAATTAGTATTAGATTTTGTTAAAGAAAAATAGAGAAAAATATAGAAAAATTTTAATTTTAATTTTAATTTTTAAAAGTTGGGTCCACCCGATCTAATCCGAAACCAGTGTGGATGGATCATGGGTCAACCTCCTTAACTCGATACTTGAAATGACCAAATCCAAGCAATCCAACATCCAAAATGACCCAATTCGAACCCACCCAATCCGTCCTGTTTGCCAAGTCTAGTTCACATCCCTATGAGTCAAGAAAGGCATTCCTATTGCCCACCTAATTCATGGGTTCATTGAGTTTGGTCATACATAAAATGATATGGTCAAAAATTAGTTGCTACTTGAGATTTTTTATTATTATTATTTTGATTGTACAATGAAAAATCATTATCTCTTATCTTTTATCCTATTCCATCCACATGCTATGCGATTTAAATTTTGGACCTCTTACTTTTATTAAAAGGAAATTATAACTGAATTACTTATATCGTTGACACTAAAAAGTTCTTCTTGTTTTAAGTCAGTGGTTTCTGACTGAGCTTGTTAGTTTAACTGTTGTTATATCTATATTTAATTAATTTAGATATTTTTAAATTTAATATATACAATTTACATGAATAAATTATTTCCATTGAGAATAATAATAAATAAAGTTAAAATTTAATTTTAAAATTTAGAATTAATAATGTGGTACAACTTACATCATTTAAAATATATTAAAAAGTGAATTTTATATTATTTAATAATTAATTTTTTTATTTTTAAATTTTATAATATATATATAATAAAAGTTTTTGCTTCATTTAAATAAAAAATATTCTTGTGAAGAAAGAGACTGCAAGAAAATTAAAATGCATATATTCCCTTTGCACAAATAAACGTAGATTTTTAGGCAAACAACATTTTATCAATCGCTTGACTTTAGAAATCATTTTCATTCTAGTCCCACATTTTAGGGCAACATTAGTACTAACTATTTTCTTTTCTTTTCTTTTTTTCAGGATATTTGAATCCTTGCTGTAGTGGTTGAGTCTTGGTTTGTTTTCACCAAGTTTTTGTATTGTAAATGTAGATTTTACAAACTGTGCGGCTGTAAATGTTAGGATAAAGTACCTCTTATACTCTTGATAATAGAAGCTTTTGATTCATCTAAATAAAAAATATTTTTGTGAAGAAAGAGGCTGCAAGAAAATTAAAACGTATATATACCCTTTGCACAATTGTTTGGATAGAGTACCTCTTATACTCTTGATTATAAAAATATTCTCGTGAAGAAAGAGATTGCAAGAAAATTAAAACGCATATATTCCCTTTGCACAAATAAACACAAATTTTTAGGAAAATAACGTTTTATCAATCGCCTGACTTTAGAATCATTTTCATTCTAGTCCCACATTTTAGGGCAACATCAATACTAACTATTTTCTTTCTTTCTTTCTTTTCCAGGATATTTGAATCCTTGTTGTAGTGGTTCAGTGGTTGAGTCTTGGTTTGTTTTCACCAAGCTTTTGTATTGTAAAAATAGATTTTACAAATTGTGTGGATGTAAATGTTAGGATGGAGTACCTCTTATACTCTTGATGATAAAAGTTTTTGTTTCATCTAACTCAAAAATATTCTTGTGAAGAAAAAAACTGCAAGAAAATTAAATCGCATATATTCCCTTTACACAAATAAACACAAATTTTTAGGCAAACAGCGTTTTATCAATCGCTTGACTTTAGAATCATTTTCATTCTAGTCCCACATTTTAGAGCAACATCAGTACTAACTATTTTCTTTTATTAATACTTAAAAAAGAAAAACTACATAAGAAGGGAATTCCAATCGCTAAATGCAAATTCCAAGCCCTTCTATTTTCTTTTAGCCATCCAAAGGATTTGGCTTGAATAAAGTCTAGAATTCTTTGTATGTATTACCCTCACAAGCTAGCAGAAGCTTATAATGCACAAACTAGATGAAAAAAAAACACACACACACACACAAGAGGAAAAGCCACAAATATGGGATAGTTAAGCAACCGCCCCCCTCCCACAAGGGAGAATATACACTACCCTAACCCTAAGGAAAAGCCTATCAACCAAAACTAAAATCTGCTTAGAAAATAAGTATTAATTAAGGTCGCAAAATTCTTTCGAGATCATTAAGCAAACAGTTAGGAAGGTGTATCAATCCAATGACACGAGCTTAATTAATATATAATTAAACAATAACTGACAGCACAATTAATATGCGCGCTAATTAAACAAGTAGTATATATTATTTATTACTCATCATGAAATACATTGCAAGATTTTTAATTTTTTACAGAAATATACTCTTTTTGGCCTGTGGTATGTATATATAGGCTGCTGACATAACATTAGCAACCAGCGTAGTCAGCGTTGAAGCAGCTCTTTATTTATTTTATATATTACCTCTAGGCCTTAACATATATTTAATTAATTAATGAGCACATAATTCGCCATGCGGTCATTAATTACCTGCTCCTTAACATTACTCTCCTCCCTAGCCGGGGGTGGGATTTGTGTGATTGGTTCGGAACGAGCTGGGACTGGGACATACTATGACGATGATTGTGGTTTCGTCGACGATGATTGTGGTTTCGTCGTCGTCATCGCTGCTGGTGGGTGGCCAGCCGGATGGGCTGCCGTTTGTCGACCCTCCGTTGCCCATTCTTTTTTTCTTTTTTTTTTTGTGGATTGGAATGATTTTGTTGAGAAACTTTTCTAATACGTATATGTAAGGGGGGACGAAATACTTGTTCTTGACACATAACCAAACTTGCTTTCCTTTATATAGGAAAAAGAAAGTGCACTAAATTAAAGATAACTTGGAATACTTGAAAAATCCTCAACTCTCCATATTATTTAAAAAATAATAATAAAATAGAAGAATCCTTAATAAAACCTTGAATATTACTCCACTAAAATAGAATCGAAGAATCCTTTATTTGTGTACATCATGCACATAATTTTTATATTAGCTATACATATTAGACTATAGTCTAATATGTATAGCCCTTTAATTAAAGAAATTTTAATTACTAACATATATTTGATAATGTTAAATTTCTTTTAATCAATAAAGTGATTAGGCCTATTAATATAATTTGAAAATAAACATGCATAATCTAAATAAATAAAACTTTCAATCCAACTATTGATTTTTAAAAATATTAATTAAAATTTGAGTTTTTAAACAAGTTCTCCAAAAAAAAAAATTAAGAGAAAAATCTACAAAACAATTTCATATATGAATATATATACACACACCAAAAACTATTTTACAATCTAAAATAGTCCAAACTGTAAAACGATTGACTCATATATAATCTAAAACAATCTGGAATGTAAAATGGTAGGCTCATATATACTATATGGGTGTTTATTAATTGGATCTCTAAAAATTAAGAGGAAAAATACCTTAAAATTATATCATTTCAATAAAATAATACAAAAAAACCCGAATACTCTCATTTCTACTTAAAATATAGGTTATTTTAGTCATTTTCAATAAGAATTTATTAAAACCATGTAATTTTATGACCTCTTTCCTCCAAATTTTTTAGAGGCCAAGCTAACAAAACACTTTTGTGTGTGTGTGTGTGTAAATGTCTTTTGCAAGTTGTCTAATGTCTAAAAGCTTTTTTTTTTTAATTAATTGTTTCAAAAATCAACCATTAGATCAAAAATTTTATTCATATAGATTATGTATACTAATTTTTAAATTAATCTAGTAGATTGTAATACCCTAAATCCTATATTAGGATGGAAATATGAGTGTGATTGGTATATAAATATGGAGACCAATTATGATTAATAACTTGAGTTTAAGTTTTTTTATAAAAGAGTTATAAGTGTAAGATCGATCTAAATATTGACTTATATAATTTACATAAATAGAACTTTTAATCTAGTAGTTGGTTTTGTAAATATTAATTAAAAGGTAACTTGTAGACAAATCCTCCAAAAAGAATTTTTGGAGAATAACTTGCACTACACTAACCCCAAATAATTCACACTAATCCAACTTTCACTGAAAAATTGGAACCCCACTTAAAAAGCACTACTCTCTAATGATTATTTTCAAAAACCAACAATTTGATTTAATATTCTATTTATATAGATTATGCATTTGAATTTTTAGATTGATTAAATATATCTAAATAGTTCATTAATTATCCAAAATTGTAACCATTAAATATATGTTAAAAAAATATATTTTTTTGATCGAATGATTATAGATGTTTAGATCAACTTGAAAATTGATATGCTTGATCTATATCAATACAATACTAAATCCAATGATTGATTTTGAAAAATATTCATATGAAGGTGGTGTTTTTTAAGTTTGGAGTCTAATTTTAAATAAGAGACAAAGTTGATATATACTACTCATTATATATATTATGACAAAATTGATCATTTTTGTTTGATATATCGGAAGGGTTAATTACTTGACAATATAAAGGTTTAAACCTCTTCCTTTTAACTCTAATTCAATGTTTTTAAGTTTAAACAATTTTGAGTGAAAATATAATTATGATTTTGAGATAGTGAAAGTAAATAAAGCGCCATATTTCGTAAAATAAAAAGAAAAGTAAAAAAGATTTGGATACGCGTAGTTTGACACAGATGCCAACCTCAACCTGCGCAACAATTAAAAAATAATATAAGTGTAGTTAGTTCTCTTTATTGTATGCATGATTATATTTTTAAATTTGTTATTTTTAATTTTAGATTAAAAAATAATTTTTAATAAATGTGATATGAAGTGTGTTGAATCAAAGAATATTTGTATCAATATAAATAGGAAAATGATGTGTGCACACCCGAATCCAACACTCGGGTGTGCATACTCTGCATAAAAAAAATAATAATCCAACACCCTGTCCATTTTTTTTTTTCATGTGGAGGGTGCACACCCGGGTGTTGGATCCAGGTGTGCACCAATCATGGTCTATATAAATAATAATAATAATAATATGCCCAATATCTAAGGAATAATAAACCTATTTAGTGTAATTCCACCTTAAGGATGAAATTTTCAATTTTTTATAGTCAATGACATTGATGGGATTCTTATCTCCTAATAAAGTTATGATATTCCCTTTTAATCTACAAGTTAAGCATTTCCTAGGTTCTATATATACTCAAAAGCTTTTCTCTTTCGATCTATAAAACAGGTGCTTGAAGGGAAAAAAAGGTAAAAAACGACAACTAAAACTGGTGCTTAGTAAAAAATTAAAATAGGAAATTTTCAAGTCAATTTACATAAAGAAATGTAGGAATATTATAAAAATATTTAAATATTCTAAATAAATTAATGCATAGAATTGATTTATTAAAAATATTTAAATAATTAAAAAAAATTTATAAGTTTACCCAAAATATACTTCTCGGAATAAAAATTAAATACATATTTTCTTCAAATTAAGTCTGTCCAAATGCTTCTTCCTAGAATAACCAGCTTCAGAAAAGATAAAAAGTTTTTTTTCTTTTTTTTTTTTTTTTGTAAAAAAATTATGTTTAACACAGCTCTAACCCCTTTTAAAAAAAAATTTATTCTAAAAATTAGGTCAAGCAAACACTAAAATTATTCGATCGATTTCTTACTGAACCTCATAAGCATTTGATAAAATAATTAATAGACCTCGCAAAATTAAGCACGAGATTGATGCTAGTGAGTTAAGTTGCATATACTGTCTTATTTTTATTTTAAAAACAAATTATTTTTTTCCAATGAAAATTTATTAAAATAATATAAATTTAAAGTGTCTTTTTTAACTTCTACTGATTGGATTGATAAACATTTTTCCTACAGATATTCATGAAGAACCGAATAATTAAGCACGGGATAGATGAGGATATTCCCTGACATCCTTGATATGTGGCATCTTTGATAAATGGGTTAAATTTCAATTTCGTTAAATTTGGATATTCTCATGACTTAAAGGGTTTCTTCATGATTTTCAATACTAACATTTTTTTATTAACATATTTCATAACACATTCATTAAAAGATATTTATGTTTTAATATGGAATTAAAAATGAAAAACTTAAAGTTGCAACCATGTATACAGTATGAAGGAACTAGTTAAACCCGTTACATTGATATTATATTTTAATAATTAAATTTATTGAGTGTTGACATGTGCGTTTAACTAAAAGGTGTATGAATTTTTTTTCATAAAAAAATTATTAAGAATTGGCCAAAAATTTAATGTGATGGATTTGATAAAAGAATTGAGAATAATGGACATTGGCTATTGAAAAAAATAAAGAATATATGATATATAAGTTAAGAAATACTTATATACAAGTTTTATATATTATATTTA